CCTCGTTCGATTGACTTCTTTTCTTCAGCGAAGAAAGATATCAGTGCAGCGATTGAAAGCGACGCCATTTTGGCTCTGAGCACGTTTGTTTAGAACAGAAAATTCTGCTCCCATGGTAACGTGACGTAACGGCTTTAGAATTCTATATGACGGGTCTCGAGATAAAATGACATACCGCTTTTGTCATAATGTTGGCCTTTTTAGCTACTGTACTTGCTTTGTGTAACCGAGACATCGTGATACCGCATCGTTATCAAATATAGCGCGCTTACCTTCTTAACTGTCATTCCGGGTGTACAGCATTGTGTTTTCAAGACGCTATTTGCATGTTCATTTCTATTCACCGCGAAAGTGTCAGGTCGGAACACAGCAGCACGAGAATGTTCTGTTTGTAAATGTTCTGAACTTGCACGAGTCTACTTCGACCGACTGATCAAGTCGAACTAAGGGTTGTTTTTAACCCAGAATTTGTTTTTTTGGTTCTTTGTTTACGATCGTAATTAGAGTAAATTACAAACGCTATATTTAGAAATTAAGGGCTTAACTTGCTGGGCAGTGTAGGATGTGGGAGTGCGGCAAAGTACCAAGCTTCTGTCTATTTCCGTGATTGGCTAATACAGTCGTTAAGGAGTTATGTCTGTACGTGTGTCAGACAACTGACCAATGGCTGGAACTGTTATAAAAGTGTTCAAAGTTCACTCGAATTATCCCTAAGATAATTTAACGCAGGGTCTCCTGTGGCGAAATAGCATTTCAGTTGAGACGATATTGCCACTATCGGGAAAGGGAGGTTCCGGGGGTTCCCCTATTCTACTGTCATGTGTAGTCCTCTAGCTGATTGGACAATTTTCCATGCGTTGTCCGCTATAAATAGTCATCTTTCACCGTTCAAGTCTAATATGATCAGCAAATGCGCCAGTTTGGAGTCATCTCTGTTGTGACTTGATTGTGTCCAAGACTGTACAACTAGGTGTTCTATCCGTCGAAATTTACCAAAATCAGATCAGCCGTTTATGTCCTTTCTGTTTCGCTGTTCACTGAGCAGATGGAATTTCGAAGTGAGGCGACTCAGAGCGACCGCCATCATATTCCTGATCCACTTTTGGAAACCGAACGAAGTAAAATTGTAGTGAAGTACAAGTGCCCCATTTGCCGTCACGTTATGGCTGCCAGAGAGGCTTTACACACAGGCTATGGTCAAAAATTGTGTCAAAATTGCGTCAGTCTGCCTGAAAGGTAAATTTAAAATTTACTTTACGAGAATTATTAGGTTAAGATGTTTGGTTTCTTTTATTACGGTTCTTGTTCAGTGAAAACGACGAACAGCGAAGTTTGTTTTGTTAGTTGTTAGTTCCGTAGAATGGAAATACGACAACTCTCGCTTATTCGCTTCTAACTCTCGCAAAAACCCGACCAGTGTAAAATGGCGCGATGATCGCCAACAACAAATAACTTTAACAACTTTAATATTCATATTGCGCAAAATACATGTAATATATGACCCACTGCGCAAACTGAGCAACAGAAAAATTTTGTGGAAGAAGCACTATCGAAGCTCTCTGTCGCAGCCGAGGCACATCACGGTTCGGGCTAAGTTGTCACGAGTGTATACAGTTGACAGGACTTTGCAGTGAAATGAAGTCGTAATAAACCTTTCTCTAATTATTGTGTCACTTGCCCCTCCATATCCTTGAGCACACTACTTCAGTGGCGAGTCTGATCAGAAACAATTTGCCATCGTGGTTTGCTCGTTCGCTTTCGCAACTCCGCTGTAATCATTCGCTCTCGGTTATCTCTCATCAAATAATGTATGCACTATTTAAAGAAAAAATATCAGCCCAGTCTTTGTGGAGTGAATGTGGCAACAATCAATTTCTAAACCAAATTTTAATCTGTTCAATATTTTTGGTTTCGGGGAACGGGGAGGTTCGGGGGGTGTGTT